TGTCTGACTTTTTTTTTTAAAGATTTTTATTTATTTATTTGAGAGAGAGAGAATGAAGAGAAAGAGAGCATGAGAGGGGGGAGGGTGAGAGGGAGAAGCAAACTCCCTGCCGAGGAGGGAGCCCGATGTGAGACTAGATCCCAGGACTCTAGGGTCATGACATGAGCTGAATGCAGTCGCTTAACCAACTGAGCCACCCAGGCACCCAGGCGTCTGACTCTTGATTTCAGCTCAGGCTCTTAGGGTTGTGAGATTGAGCCGGGTCTGGCTCCATGTTGGGCATGGAGCCTGCTTAAGATTCTCTTTCTGCCTCTCGCTCTGCCCCTAGCCCCTCCAAAAAAAAATTTTAATTAAAAAAAAAGATGAATAATTAAGACATTATGTTACATGAAATAAGCCAGTCACAAAAACACAAATACCATGAATCCACTTTTATGAGGTACCTATACTAGTCAAATTCAAAGAGACACAAAGTAGAATGGTAGTTGCCAGAGGATGGCAGTAGGAGGGAAATGGGGAGTTATCCAATGGGATAGTGTTTCAGTTTTTCAAGATGAAAGGATTTCTGGAGACTGACTGCACAACAACATAAGTAAACAACATAAAGTACTACATTGTACCTTTAAAAATGGTTAAGGTCCTAAATTTTATATTGTGTATTTTACAATCAATTTTTTTTTAATTTTTAGGAAAGATAAATAACAAGTGTTGGCAAGGGTGTAAAGAAAGTAGACTCTTCATGCATTGCTGCTGGTATGTAAAAATCGTGCAGCCAGTCTGGTAAACAATTTGACAGTTTCTCAATAAGTTAAACACAGTTGACCATATGACCCAGCAATTTCACTCCTAGGTATATACCCAAAAGAATGGAAAATATTTGTTCAGCAAAAACTCATAAACAAAAGCTTGTGGCAGCACTATTTATAATAGCAAAAAGTGGGAACAACCCAAATGTTCATCATCTGATGAATGGATAAACAAAATATGGTATATCCATACAATGGAATATTATTCAGCCATAAAAAGGAATCAAGTACCAATACACACTACACAACATGAATGAACCCTGAAAACATTATGCTAAGTCAAAGAAGCCAGATGCAAGAAGCTACATATTATATGATTTCATTTGTATGAAATGTCCAGAATAGGCAAATCTATAGAGAAAGAAAGTAGATTAGTGGTTTCCAGGGCTGGGTTAGGGAGGTGGAGGAGTTGGTAGTCACTACTAATGGGTACGGATTTCTTTTCATAGTGAAAGAAATGTTCTGAAACTGGATAGTGGTGATGATTGTACAATCTTGTATATATACTAAAAACTACTGAACTGTACACTTTTTAATAGTAAAGTTTATGTTATGTAAATTATATCTCAATAAAAAAATAAACATATGCTTGATGACAGAAACCAGATATATGCATAGTCTCAAAGTATCTCCCTCAAAATATTTAGTAATTACAAAGGGAAAAATGTTTCCATTGGAGAATCCTGACAAACACCACCTAAGCCAAGTGACCCAGGTCAACATCACCAGTAAAACATATCAATATCAAGTACACCCCGATATGATGCACTGAGGAGGGCACATTCACTTCTGTGGTACCCCGCCCAAAAAATGCAAAACCTTAATCTAATTATGAGAAAATAGCAGACAAACCCAAACTGAGGAACATTACACAAAATAACTTTTCAGTACTCTTCAAAAGTGCCAAGGTCATGAAAGATTGAAGAACTGTCACAGACTGGAGTAGACTACAGAAACATGGCTATTAAATGCACTGTGCAATCCTAGACTTGATACTGGAACAGAAGGGCATTAGTAAACAAAAAAAAAAACAAAAAAAACAAAAACTGGTGAAATCCTAATAAATTCTGTACTTTAGTTAATATTATTGTAGCAAGGTTAATTTCTTAGTTTGATAAGTGTTCTACAGTTATGTAGGTGACATTAACACAAGAGGAAGCCAGGTGAAAGAAATATCAAAATCCTCTGTACCATTTTTGCAACTCTTCTGTAAGCCCAAAATGTTCTCAAAACTTAAAATAAATTTGTGAGGGGCGCCTGGGTGGCTCAGTCATTAAGCGCCCGCCTTCGGCTCAGGTCATGATCCCAGGGTCCTGGGATC